AATTGTGTTTTAAAATATTAATGATGATGTGATAGTAGTCTATATTATAAGAGTTTAGATTCAAAATTTTCTATTGATAATGTAACAAATAACAAAAAAAACATTAATGTATTTAGTGAGTTTTCCTTAGGGGTGATAAATTAGCAATAAAATCCAACATCGTAGTTTTCAGCATCTATTCGTAATTCAATTGGTGTTAAATTAGCAAGAACTGGACCTTCTCTGTTTCGTGGGATACTCTCCTCGTATCTATGAGAAGATATTCTCACGCAGCCAATTGATGCGTCCTATCGAGACATTCCATCCTTGGCTCCGAGGATGCCTTCCAGCTTACATGTTTTAACACGAGACCAGGTCTCGAGATTCATGTGAAGCTCTCACGGTTCTTCTTCGATTCATTTGAACAAGAGAATGAAAAAGTTGTTACTTCTTACACAAGGAAGTTTCCTAGAAACATTGACTTCTTGTTCCCGGCCTCTCCGGTAATATATCTGCGGATACTCTCGCATGGATCCGAGTCTGTCTCCCAAACTCCCAAACGGTTAGATTATCTTATTATCTCATAGATATTTTAAGAAAGATAATTACGACTAGTATTCAGTTTCCCAAAAAGTATGATTTGTTCTCAGATTCACATTAGGGTTTAAAATCTAATCATTAATTTTTTTTGTAGAAAGGGATGTATTTTAGTCATAAAATATAATGATTTGTTATATTTGAGAATTCTTAGTGTCTTCAGCAGAACTGTTATCTTTGATTTTATTTCATTACTAAAATTTTCAATTAATTGTGTTTTATTGTCTTAGGGGAGCAAAGTGGAATGTTGCGACGTGTAATATGAAGGTGCAGAAGTTGCAAACATAAGATAAGACTTAGAGATTGCAGGAGAGACGAATTCATCGCCTAATGAAATTTGGAGAGCAGCAATGTTTAGTTAATGTTGTAATTTTCATTCTTCATTTTGTTTCCTCTTGGTAACGTTTGAAAGTGAAAGAAACAAGAAAGTGTGTTATCTCATATCTGAGTGAGATGGTTCAAGATTGATGTAGAAGTTCATAACTGTATGCTAATATTGTAATGAAATGGTTTAATAGAAGCAGCTGAAAATTGTTTCATCATCCCATATTTTGGCTTCTTTTTTTTTCTTTTCCTATTTTTAAAACGAGAAAGTTTCAGTGCTTTAAAATTAATGATGATCACCTGCTAGATTTTTACATCCAAATCACATGATTTATGCATATCAGCCCTCATGATCACATCCAAATCACAGGTCAAAGAGAACATGTAAAAATCGATCAGGGAACATATACCAAAGAGAAAACGGATTTAAACACAGAACCCAAAATCAAGAGAATCGAACAAAGAAAACACAAAATTGAATAGATCGTCATAGAAAACCCTAATTTCCTTAAGAGAATTTCACAACCAAGCAAGAATTGACAGATCTAAACGATATGCTTCATAAGAGAAAACGCAAGAAAGATCCAATATTTCAACAACATGCAAATCTGACGAGCAACTAATAGAGAAGCTGGGATTGAAGAAACGAGCAGATAATTTTGAAATCAAATTATTGAAAAATCCAATCACCCAAAAACCAAAATCGAAGATAAAAGGAAAACCAAAAGATCAGACGCCAAAACCCAGAACAAACAAATCAGAAGAAACATATACCTTGAAGAGTCCTAGAAAGAGAGAATCGTTAAAGATATGCTGAGCGATTTAGGGTTTGAGAGAGATTGAAGAGTCAGAGATAGACGAAGCGATAAATTAAGATCCTTCACAAGGTCTTCTTTTATACAGCAAACCAAAAGGTCAAACCGTCTTTTAAAGTAATTAGAATAAATATCAGCTGAGGATTATCATCACGAAATTAAGGAAGGAAGCATATGATACGTGTCATATTTTTTACCGTTCGTTTTTTAAAAGACCGACTCAACTAGAAACATCCTATGGTGGTGGATGGATTAGCTCAGCGATGACATTTGCTCCTCTGGCATTTTTCTATTTTCCTTTTCCTCATACAATTTCTTTCTATTTTATATAAGAATTAAATAAGGAAAAAGTACAAATAATTATTCTTTTCATTAAGACTATGTCTTGGTTCACCCAACCCAATAAGAATAGGCAATCATAACATAAACTTTGGAGGATACAATTACTATATTGATTTACTTTAATTCTATGTTGATTATGATAGTTTATCTTCTTTTTTCATTAAATTAAACATATCAATATTTGGCATTAAAGATTCTAATCTACTCTAATTAAGAAAAGAAAAAAGTATCTACCATTGACTAATCTTTGAGATCAATCTTTCTACCATAAATATTTGTGATCTTTCCGCATGAAGCGAAATGTTTTTCCAACACGAGTTTGAGAGGATACTCCTTAAGCGTAGTGTCATATCCTTCAACGGAAATCGTCGTGCTAGTGCTGCTGCAACAATTTGATTTTGATTGCAGGTGGAATATTATATGATCAACACGTACGTACGACAAAGATTTTCCAAAAATATATATGTAAATAAAGTTACCATGGAGTTTGAGAGTCTGCACCATTATCGTTCAATTCCAGCAATTTTAGACCCTAAGATACAAAAGATGTAATCAGAAATTCTACTATTTCATATATTTTTCTACTTTCTTGTGCAGAAAGAAACCATTAGTAGAGAGACGCAGAGGTTAAAGCAGAAGATTACTTTGATGGCTGATTCGTCCATAGATAAGTTGACAAGAGCGACTGCTAGGATCTAGGGATTTAGATATGAACAAGGTTTTTTTTTTGTCGGATAGGAAGCAGAAGGAGGTTTCTTTGTCTTTTTTGTTTTGTTAATCCTTGGGTGTATTTATAGTTTCGAACAAACGGTTGGGCCTTGAATTTAGTTCAGGCCTGTGTTAAGCCCATATAATAACTCTCAAACAGAAAAATGTTGAACCGGACTAAACCCGCGAAATTAAATGCCGGTTTCCGGGTAAGAAGATGAAGATGAGGATTGAAGTATTCAAGAGGCGGAAAAATTCACAAGTCCAAGAGCTTAATTTTCTCCTCACTCTTCTGCTACAGACTCGGAACTCGTTCTCTTTGCTAAAATAAGATGATGAGGATCGTTGTTGTCCGACAATTCTTGTATCTCACACTCTCTCTCTCTTCTCTGTTGTTACTACTCTGTTACCTTACCACCAACTCAAGGACTCAAAGATTGTTTTTCTTCCTCAATGGCGTTTATGAGACTTGGCTCCAAATCCGAAGCTTTCCATCGTGAAGGCCAAACCTGGTACTCTTTCTTTGCTTTTACCTCCTTGAATTTGACTAATCGACTTATAGGGTCTTTGAGATGGAATTTTCATCAATGTCGTTAATTTCTCTTGATTTTTATATGTATTCAAGCTCTCGTCTTTTGTTGAAATCGAGATGGGTTCTTCCTAGAATCGTTAGTCATTGATGCAAGTTTCAAAGATCATAAATTTTTGGATTTTAGCTCTGATTTGTTTTGACAAGTGTTCTGTTTTGTGTGATGTTTTATGTCTCTCGTCTTGTCTTACAGGCTTTGCACCACAGGACTCGTGAGTGATGTTACCATTGAAGTTGGAGACATGAAGTTTCATCTCCACAAGGTTAAATTTTACTATCTTCTCTTTCTTTTTTTTGAGTACTAGATTTTATGTAATTGCATAAATGCGAAAGCTTTGATGATTAAACTAGATTGTTTCCTAACTGTGTAATGTTTGTCTTGATTTGTGTGTAGTTTCCGCTGCTCTCTAGAAGTGGGCTTCTTGAGAAGTTAATCGAAGAGTCTTCAACTGATGATGGATCAGGCTGTGTGTTGAGTTTGGATGAGATACCGGGAGGTGGCAAAACGTTTGAGCTTGTAACCAAATTCTGCTATGGTGTGAAAATCGAGCTTACTGCTTTCAATGTTGTTAGCCTTCGATGTGCAGCTGAGTACCTTGAGATGACTGATAACTATGGAGAAGGGAATCTTGTTGGTATGACTGAGACTTTCCTCAACGAAGTGTTTGGGAACTGGACTGACTCGATCAAAGCTCTTCAGACATGTGAGGAAGTGATTGATTACGCTGAAGATCTTCACATTATCTCTAGGTGTGTTGATTCGTTAGCTGTCAAAGCGTGTGCTGATCCAAGCCTTTTCAATTGGCCCGTGGGAGGAGGAAAGAACGCAACGAGTGGGCAGAACACTGAAGATGAATCGCATTTGTGGAACGGAATCTCTGCGTCTGGAAAGATGCTGCAACCTACCGGTGAAGATTGGTGGTTTGATGACGCTTCTTTTCTTAGCTTGCCTCTCTTCAAAAGACTCATTACCGCTATTGAAGCACGTGGCATGAAGCTCGAGAACATCGCGATGGCGGTTATGTACTATACAAGGAAACATGTTCCTCTGATGAGTAGACAAGTAACCATGGATGAGCAAGTGATTGAGACACCAAATCCTTCTGAAGAAGACCAAAAATCTTGTCTTGAAGAGATTGTCGGGTTGCTTCCGAGCAAGAAAGGTGTAAACCCGACCAAGTTTCTTCTCAGGCTTCTTCAAACCGCAATGGTGCTTCACGCAAGCCAATCCTCGAGGGAGAATCTGGAGAGACGAATTGGAAATCAGTTGGACCAAGCTGCTCTAGTTGATCTTCTTATTCCAAACATGGGATACTCTGAAACGCTTTACGATGTTGAATGCGTTTTGAGAATGATCGAACAATTTGTTTCGTCAACCGAACAAGCAGGCATCGTCCCTTCTCCTTGCATCATCGAAGAAGGACATTTGGGGAAGGATGGAGCTGATTTGCTAACTCCAACAACGTTAGTGGCAACTCTTGTTGACGGTTATCTCGCTGAGGTGGCACCTGATGTTAACCTGAAGCTGGCGAAGTTCGAAGCCATCGCTGCCGCAATCCCTGACTATGCAAGGCCACTAGATGATGGAGTTTATCACGCAATCGATGTGTACTTGAAGGTAATAAAGATGCTGTTTTTAATTTTAACCAGTCCATGTATTAAGATTTTGAATTGCAAATTTTGCAGGCGCATCCATGGATTACGGATTCAGAGAGAGAGCACATATGTAGACTCATGAATTGCCAGAAGCTCTCATTGGAAGCTAGCACACACGCGGCTCAGAACGAGAGGCTGCCTCTTCGGGTGATTGTTCAGGTGCTCTTTTTCGAACAGCTTAGGCTCAGGACATCTGTATCGGGCTGGTTCTTTGTCTCTGAGAATCTAGACAACCCCGATAACCAACATGGTGCTAATGGCGGTTTTAAACCCAGAGGTGAGAACGTAAGAGAACGGGTTTCTGAGCTGGAAAAGGAGTGTATGAACATGAAACAAGAGCTGCATAAGCTGGTGAGGACGAAGAGAAGCTGGAAGAATTTTACCAGGAAGCTTAACTTCAAGAAGAAATCAGAATGCTGCAAGCCAAAGGATCAAGCAACACCAGCAATTTGAGCAAAATCCTCTGTTTTAAGGCAGAACTACTAGTATTCTCTTCTCGTTTAGATTAGCTTTGTTTTTCTGGTTCTTGATGCGACTCTGTTTTCAAAAGTTTTCATCTTTCTCTTAGTATCTCGCTAAGAGTTTTGATGCTTTTTAGATAAAACTAGAGCTCTTGTCGGAAAACATTAATTTCATTTCTTATGCAATTTCGGGGTGTATTGTGTTGTGCAGCCCCACAGGAAACAATCTCAGACACAAATCAACAGAAGGGAAATACAATCAATAAAGAATATCATCAGCGAAACTTTACAAATAGGACGAAGAATCAGAGTAGTGTTCCGATCTCAGATTCTTAACAGGACGGATAGTCTTTAGGCGGTGGTAGAACCGAAAGCTCAGGTGTTTTCCCGTTCTCGACGACGAAAGCCATCTTCAAACCCCACATTGTATGGACTTCCAAGTGACAGTGCATAAACCAAACACCTGCAACAACACATGCATTGATCACTTGATCTACTTATCATATATGGTCATCATCATCACATATGTGCATTGACAGATTGATTTATACCTGGATTATCAGCCCTGAATCTGATGGCAGCCCAACCACCGGTGGGTACTCCAACTGTGTTTCTCTCAGGCGGGTCAATGAGGTTAAACTTAGCCGGATCTTTCTTGGGATCAAAGTTTCCAACACCGGTTCCAACGACAAAGAAGTTGTAGCCATGAAGATGGAAAGGGTGTGACTCAACGGTTAGGAGATTGGTGTCTTGCAAGACGAGCTCAATTGTAGTATTGAACTTAACTCGGCTAAGTCTTGTCCCCGTAGATGTTCCGAGGTTAGCAGTGAGCGGCACACCGGTGTAGTTAAACGCTTTGGGGGGTCTGTCTGGGAAATCAGTCCTGAAAACACCCGAGATGTTGGAGTAATGTGCTTTCAAGAGCGCGGTTTGGGGCATAACGAATGTGATATTGTTTATAGAAGCTGCAAGATTTGTCCCGTTCACACAAGTCGGGCAAGCGTTAATGCCTAGCCCGATAGTGTAGAACAGTCGCCGGTCGACTTTTAATGGAACAAGAGCCGGAAAATTTGGTGTGTTGAGGCTCTTGAGCTTTCCGTTATAGTCCAAAGCAAATGATGTGTCGTTAGGCAAAGGAAGCTTTGGTAAGATTGGTAAGACCGTGTTTGGTACGCCTTTGTATTGAAGAATCGCGGTTACGGTTTTGTTGTCTACGGATACTGGAGCGTCCATGAACGGACTAGCTGCCATGAAGTAGCGGTTTGGTGAGCGGTCGGTTTTGACTAGAACATTAGTGGTTTGACCTGGTCCGATTAAAATGGCTTTGGTTGTGAACGGTTTAGTGTAGACCGCATCGATTTCCACCACGGTCATGTTGTGTCCCGCAATCCCGAAGAATAGCTCGTCGTTTAATGCTGCGTTGATAATCCTTAGAAGGTATGTTTTACCCGCTTCGGCCTCTATAACAAACGTGTCTGAAAAAATTGTATACGGAAAAAGATTAATGATATCCGAGATCCAATCCGATAACAAACGGTTTAAAACGGTTTAGAACTTTTACGTTTCTCGGAACACGGAAACAGCGGTCCAGGTTTTCCGTTAATGGTATGAGCATCCGACATTGGAGGCGGTGCACCCAATTGGTTGGCTTGGTTAACCGCAGTCTCAACGTCTTTGTTCCACCATTCTCCTAGTCCAGTATCAAAAAGGGCAATGAGAAAAAAGAAAAATCTAAGGATGGGACTGAACCGACCGGTTTGGTTTTATTCACTAACCGAGGATTATGTTATATTCTTGGTATGGTTGTGGGAACGGATACGGTTTTCCCGGTTCAGGCAAGATGACAATAGCTCCGTAGACGGTGGCTCGTAGCCAGAGGATGTGTGCGTGCCACCAAAGGGTCCCTCGTTGTCCGGTCACATTGAAATCATAAAGGTAACTCTGTCCGGTTTGGATCGGACACTGAGTTATGTATGCTGGACCATCCGCCCAACCGTTCCGGTACTGTTTAAGCCCATGCCTATAAAACAAACCGTTAAATTTTGGTTCACCAAGAATGACTAAACCGGGTACGCTGGTGTGAGACGTAGGAAAGAGATGCTTTACCAATGGATGGACATGTTGTATTGTACATGGTTGGTTACGTTGATGATGACTCGATCACCTTCTCTTGCGTAAACCGTCGGTCCAGGGAACATACCATTAACCGTGACAATCGGTTTGGCATTGCATATCCGGCTGATGTTCTTCACTTGAACCTGTTCCAAATTACAAACGTTAGTACAAAAAACCTACATATCTTGGGTTTACATTACACCGGTTTAGCTAAACCAGTATAATTTGTATACCGATTTATTGAACACCTACATCAAATTGATACTTCTTCACCGCCGCATCCACCGGAGAATCGCCAAGAAACGCAAGAAGATAAAGGAATAGAAAGAGAAAACCCATCTTCATCTCCGGTTCAATTTTCCGGTTTGATGCAATGATGAGATTTGATTTGTATTTGATCGTCAATTGCTTTTGGTTATACAAATTGTAGTGAAGAAATCGTAGCTGGTTACAAATGCTTATATAGAGCCATCCCATCATGCAAACAAAAGGTTGGTGAATCTCTCAGAATATAAAAATAATAATCTTTTTAGGTTAGTCAGTGACAAAATAAATGTGAAAAACGCATAAAATAACATTATTAAGAAAAGCTTAGAGAAATATATAATCGAAGAAGAAGGCTTGTAAGCAACTTTCTGAAAGACGTTGGCGAATCAGCGTAACGTTTGTTAATATTATGGAGTACCTTCGAAGTTGATATCTGAGCTTTATTATGTTTTGACTTTTCGTTAACAATAAAAAAAATAATATTTCGATCTACAATTCAAGATAAAAATAAGTGTCTTTAATTCAAGAAAGTTTATAAATGCCTACCCATAGTGTTTTTTATCACATAAGCAGCCCTCGAAATTAAAGATGAAACTATTTTTACAATATTTCTTTTTATACAAAAGACCCTCAAGTTCGAATGGATCAATCTATTTTCAAAAAATTAAAATGATTTTTCTTTTTTTTCATATATAACCGAATTATGTATTTCGAGAACTCAATTAGTATCAGGTAATACTTCTACTTTAATTTATTTTTATTTCTGAAAACTTGCTTTGCAGTAACATGTTGCTTAGCCATTCGTTTAGCCTGTAAATTTTATTTTATTTTGAGATTATTTGGTTCCAGTTATATATAGTGATGTTTTGGCGTAAGGGAAAATGACTGCTCTTTTTGATCCTTTTTTTTTTTTTTTTGGCCAACGAGATCCTCATGTATAATTATCTAAATTCAAATCTCAACCAACGGATTTTAATTTACAGGTACGAAGAGTTTGGTCAAATGTATTAAATAAATTAGCTGTTCACTGGTCAAAATCCTAACCGTTGGATCATAGGATAAAACACTTTTGAGTCCAAAACCCATATAAAGCCATATTTAAAACGATAGACAATCGTTTTATGCTACGTTATTGGCCACAGGCCCGCCCATAGGAAAATATTTATTAGATGTTGGTATTACTTTTAACCATTGAAACATTTTTTTTTTTTTTTTTTTTTTTTTTTTTTTTGGACAAAGAACCATTGAAAACATTTAAGACACAAGAAATGATATTGGTTGACGTAGCGGATGACTTTTTTTATATAAGCGTAGAATAAAATTAATCATTCGATTATAATATATGATTTTATCATTGTGTTTATATCAATAGCACGATTTCATTTAGTCTTAAAATATGGTATCTGACGGAATAATCTTTTTTAGCATATAAACTAACTGAGGATATCATAGAAAGGCCTCGACGATGAGGATAAGGGATTTCCCATTTAAATTCTTTAACGAACTTTCCACTATCTATCTTTCTCTCTCTCTCTCTCTCTTTTGTTTTTTTTTCTTTTTCTAGTTTCCAAACTTATCACTAGTAGCTGGTTAATTGATCTGATATAGCCAGTTCGAAAAAATATATAACTGGTCGACTAATCAATAAAGTAATTAAATGTTTAATAGGTTGATTTTCAAACATAGTTGGTACTATATATACTAAAATTTGAGTAATTGTAAATTGGGTTGTTTTTATTGGAAGAGAATATTGATAACAATGTTATTCTGACAATATTTGTCGCCGCCTCTCTATGATTTATAATTTCATATTTGTAAAATCATCGCATTTATTGTGAATGAGTGGTTTAGAATCTACTAAAAAGAGAATGTCAAATCAAAAAAAATTCAACCCCAAAGTTTTTGGAAACTTTTTACTGTATTTGTTATTGGATGCATGATACATATATTCTATGTATCATCTTGTTTGTGCATTAGCTAATTTAGATATGAATTAGGGGAGACAACACATTTGCTTTGCCCAAAGCGAAACGCGTCGTATTAACGTGTCGTGACATAAGTAATCTAGTCAGGTTCACCAATGGCATGTGACATATTTTATCATGCACTCTTAAAAACATAATTTGGCGTTGAGATTACTGAAATACTAGGATTACTATTGTGCTAATGCTACAAAACATAATTAATTAGCACAATAGCACCATAAGTTGGCTTTGTCGTATTATCTGAAACATAATATATCTCCACATTGTATCATTAAAATCTGAGGTTTTACTGTAAGGAAAAAATCACAGTGAAGCATATTTCTTGTCAACAACATAATTAAACCAACAAAACAATTTTTTAGAGGTTCATTAACCCTAACATCAATATCATTGATTGGCACTTAACCCAAAGAAAAGACAAAAATTTCATAGCTTTAAACAATCACGAGAAATAAAATCCAACACCAAATCATACGTATCTACTGTTAGCGTACGTCGAACAGATAATAAATCGTTTTGTGCTGGCCTAATCCAGAACAGAAATTCCTATTATAAATCATGAACAGAAAAAACAATAGATCGAGAAAGACAATTTTCACATATAATATCAACTTTTTTCGTGGCCATGCACAATAAAACTTCTTTAATTATTGAGGATATCGACAAATATGCAACTTTGAAAAATTATATCTTTTACAGGATAGGGTGAGGATTAATTAGTCCTCTAACACTTTGACCTAAAGATTTTTTCAGTTAATAAAAAAACTTATAAGTACCAAATTAAATTAAGTTTCAACTTTCGAAAATATTAGCTGCCGCAATTTTAGTATAAATGATCGCAAATAATTCTATAACAAGTTGGTGTTTGAATGACCGATTCATCAAAAGACAATTCACAGATTAATAGACCCCCACAAAGTTTGGAAGATTGCAAATATGAAGTATATGAGAAAGAAAAAAACACCAAATAATAGAGAATGAGTAAAAATAATTCACCGTTTACTAGACCGGAACCACAAAAATTGGAAGATTGTAAATTACTAAGTATGAAATATGAGAGAAAAAAAAAAAAGAGTGCTCAACGCGTGTGTGAGCACCACTTGCGATTGTGCTAACCGATGAGTTAGACTATCTTTGTTGATAGAAAGAGCTAGCCAAGAGTTGAACACTCGTGTGACCACGTTTCTCACGTGCCTAGCAGAGACTTAAGAAAGACAATCCACGCTATAAAACATAACAAAGGGTTGTAGAGAAAGAGAGTTAATTAAAACCAAAACCAAAAAAAAAGAAAAAAAAAGAGAGAGAGAGTTAATAATAGACTTGTCTTATCTAAAAAATATTCCTTTGTTTTTCCATAAGAACGAGAAACAAACAAAAAAAAAAGTTGTGACTTTGACAAGTTAGACGAAACAATGGAGGTGAAGAGGGAAGAAGGGAGATGACGAAGAACAAGTTCAAGGTTTAAGAGGATTTGCGTCTTTTGTGGAGTAGCAATGGCAACAAAGCTAGTTATCAAGATGCAGCCATTGATTTGGCCAAAGAATTGGTATTTATGCATCTATATACAACTTGCATGAATCGGTGTTTCTTCTTCAGGCCTCTGCTGGTTGTTTCGCTTTGTTTTCTTATTGTATTTTTTCTTGTATCGTAGTTTCTGTAGTCATAGTTTTTTTGGTCTTCCTGCTTTAATCTGTTTCAAGTTTTCTCTTGTAATTCTGTCAAAAATCAAAATGGTATAAAATTTCACCTTTTTACCAAAAAAAAAAAACTTGCATGTTACCCCATTTCTCTTTTCAATTTCACCAATAAGTTCTTTCAAGATTCTTAAAGTCTGTTTTGTTTTAAAAAGAGAAATAACAATGATAAAAGGTCGTTCTGTTTTTGAGATTCCTTCTTATACAAAATACAAAATTAGGGTTTGAAATTTTGATGACAGGTGATGAGGAAGATTGATATTGTTTATGGTGGAGGAAGCATAGGTTTATGGGTTTGGTGTCTCAAGCTGTTCATGATGGTGGTCGTCATGTTATTGGGTACTTAGTCTATATGTTTATTCTATAGTACTTCATTAAAATTCGAATGTTCTTAATGAAAATAAAGGTAGGTATGGTTTTTAATTCTTATTATATATGATGCAGAGTCATCCCCAAGCTCCTCATGTTGCAAGAGGTATTAATTAGCTTTTCATGAGGAGATCAATCTTCAATGGATCTGAATTGGAATAATAGCAATAATGGTAATAATAATGCTCTTTTTGTCTCTCTGTCAATGTCTCGCAACAAACACAAAGATAACTGGAGAAACAGTAGGAGAAGTGAGGGAAGTTGCAGACATGCATCAGAGAAAAGCTGAGATGGCTAAGCATTCTGATGCTTTCATTACTTTGCCTGGTAAATTTACTCTCTCTCCCCCTCTCTTTTATCTTATTACAATTAAATTTATGAAAAATTATATTATTGATACTCATTTGTGAAAACTTTGCTTCTACATTTAGAGTCCCCAATATATGATGCTAGAATCTTTTAAAGTTAGATGTGTTAGTGTTTGTTTCCCCCCCTACATAATGTATGTTAGTGCTTTAAAACAAAAAAAAAAAAAAAAAAAACTTTTATTAGTCATATCTCATTATATAGAACTTTAAAGAGTGCGTTTAATAAGTATTAATAACATGTGGTTAATATGATATGTGGGAAATCCCATGAGTCAAAGAATCACGACAAATAGTTTTGAAATAATTAAAGTGAATAATCAGAAAAAGTACTTTGATCCATCAACATCCAAAAGCAGTGAAAATAGATGTCGACAAAGGACATCTGTTTCTTATCCAATTTAAGAAATTTTTTATGTTCTCAGTTTATATATATATATTTATTTATATTTTTGAACAGACAATAAAAGATCATAGTATGGGTTGCAAAATGTTGTTTTACTTTTTTGGGTAGTGCTGGTTTATTATATTCTGAGAGAAACAAATGGTAATTATGTAGCAAATATTGTAATCACATGAATGATGATGAGTGCACTAATGTTTGACCTTTGACTTGAAAAAGTACCAAAGAGAAGAGAAGGACTTTTCATTATTCAGATGTTGACTTTTCTTTAGAGGTCAAAAATGAAAGTGAAAATAAAAAAAAATCTTCCTAAGTTTTACTATTCGTGCCACTTGACTAAGTCAACGAGTGCTCACTATCAATCATCAATTCATCAGGTGGCTATGGTACACTAGAGGAGCTACTCGAAGTGATAACTTGGGCACAACTTGGTATCCATAATAAACCGGTATGTAAATCGGTTTGGCGTGGTAATATATAAGATAGTAACCGACTATAATTTGATAGAATTTGCGATTGGTTTTTTCTTCTTGCAGGTCGGTTTATTAAACGTTGATGGATATTACGATTCATTGCTATCATTCATCGACAAAGCCGTCGAAGAGGGATTTATTCTTCCAACCGCTGGACATATTATCGTGTCCGCGCCAACCGCAAAAGAATTGTTTAAAAAAATTGGAGGTACATATATCGATAGATGATACGAATTTAACTCTAAACCGAACCATATATTCAAATCACTAAATCAAATATCTAAACATGCTTTATCTTTGTTTCAAATTATGTCTAAAACTTGTTAGACTAGACAGAGTTTCGTTTAATAATCCTGAAAATTTTGATTGGTGTATTGCAGGAATATGTGCCTCAACACAACATTAACTTGCATCAAAACTGAGCTCCAAGACGATTCATACCAAGATTAAAGATTTGATTATTTCTTAGACAAACTAAAAGTCCGATTTGATTAGGGAGTACAAAATGTATATTTGTTTTGTGGATTTTTCATATTGTATCAAAAAATTCCTGTGCTTTTGTAATATATCACAACTAGTGCATTTCATTTACATTTGAAATAAGTACATATACGTTAGATAAATATTTGGTCCAATGGTTTTTGGATATATGGGGCTGTTTTGACATTTCGGATTATATAGAAGGAAATTTTACATTATGGGGTACTTTTTTGGAAACTCAATTGACTTCTAGAGTAGTTTAGGGGTAGTGGGTAGTTTTTTAAGTTTTTTTACCAAAAGCCCCTCATATTTTCGTTAACCATAGTTACAAGGTCAGTGGTTAAGCATTTAAAAAAATAATTATTACAGTCCTCTAGTAAAACTTTTCTTCACTGTAACCCGTAAAACTTTTCTTCACTGTAACCTAAATCCAAATTTCTTCCGGTGACGGCGTCGGCGTTAAATCGGCCTCCGTTTGTCCGTTCTCATCCACCAATACGTCTTCCCGGAATTCAACTTCAGCTCAAGATCTAAGAACTTCAAAAGTATATGTTTACATCATAATTCCTTTTCTTTCTAAACCTAGAATTCCAAATCCGGCGACATTCAAATCCGTTGATTTTACTTACCTCTCCTTACAGTTATCAATGGCAGGTAATCGATATATGTTTTTGTAATTTATGTTCTGTTTTTCAGTTATCTACTTCATTTCTCTGTCAATAACTGCCTAATTTGAACCAGCTCCGGCCGAAGTCGATACAATTGACTTCGATACCCGACTCCCTCCCCGTCTCTTTGCAACGGACCGATACCCAGAAGCCCGTCTCAATATATACTCCAGACCCGATATCCTCACTGTGATTTGTGATGTTCTTCAAGGTACAAAGGAAATGGAAACTCTCTTAGATTCGTGTTTTGGTTCGCTTTTTAGTTTAAGGGTTAGCGAATGTCCTATTTCCTGCAAATTAGTCCACGCGTTGTTATGTAGACAACTGATTACAAAAAAAAAGTATGAAATGTGGACTGTTTTTGGTGGACAGCCACTAAGATTCTCTTTAGTTGAGTTTGGGAATGTCACTGGTTTGCCTTGTGGTGAATTCCCTGAGGAGTATGATCCAGATTTATCCCCAAAACGTGTGAATGGGGTTAAGGATTATTGGGATGTGTTGATAGGAAAAGATAAGAATACTACGTTAGCTGATTTATCCGTCAAGTTCCAGGCATTAAAAGGGATTGAGTCCCCTTTGAAACTGCCACTAGCTCTTTTGCTTATTGTTGATGGAGTCCTAATAGCCAATAATCAGACTCATCGGCCAACCTATAAGTATGTCCAGATGTTGGAAAACATTGAATCCTTCCTTTCTTTCCCATGGGGGAGAGAATCTTTCCTCAAGACCATACAGGTTATGAGCCCTGGAAGAAACAAACCTTCAGTGGGAGGTGCGAAGAGAAAAAGGTCCCGCGCACATAGCAAGATTGAAGATCCAATCCAGCTATTTGCAGAACAGATGCAACAGCAAACTATAGCTATATATGGCTTTCCTTTGGGCCTGCAACTGCTTGCATATAGGAACATATCTGGTCTACTGGAGAAGATTCCAGGTTCTTCAGATGAGAGAACCTTCTTGGAATGGCATTCAATTGGGATCCCCAAAAACAATCTTACCCTAAATGAAGTTCATATCCTTGAACGTGCTCCTGATGTAAGTTGTTTCAAACATTTATATAATTTTGGGTAAATTTTTAACTTTTATGTGTTCTCATTATCTGTCTTTGATTCTTCAGTTGGTTGTTACTACTCCGTTCCTGTTTGTTGACCAAAACGAAGATGGATGGGGAGAGTGGGATGATGAAGTGAGAGACAAGAAAGTTGTTTTTTTGATTGAGCAGATAAGGAAATGTCATGAATTCACCAAAAAGGAGTGGCCTGGTGGCTATGCTGAACTAAATCTCATTTCTGTCAATGAAAAGGACCCAGTTGTTGAACACAAGAAGCATATAGTTAACAGGAAAAGGAAACATACGTCAACTCCTTCAAAGGGAAGTCAATCAAAATCGAATGTCGGTACTTCAAGGCGAGGCAGGAAGCGTAAGTTTGAGTTGGTTGATGATGATGAGGCAGGTGATATAAAACTGTGGGTGAATTCGCGGTTGGATGCTATAAGACATGAATTTGCGGAGAATGTTCAGAAGTTAAGAGGTCAGAATCGGAATCTTCTGAAAAAGATCAAGGCCCTGAGATCTCTGAAGATGCCAAGATTTCAATTTCACAAATTCTCACGCGCTAGACAGTCAACTTGTGCTCCATCAAGGAAAGTACGCATAGCAGCTAAACATCCCAATATATCTGAATCTCCAGAGAATGCTGCTGTAGGTACTCAAAACATCCCAACTCCTCCTTCAAGTCCATTAACTTCAATGCATGAGGAAGAGAATGCAGTTTCAGGAGAACCTTCACTTCTTGTTGATGATTACACATGGCGTCTAATAACTTCTCAGCAGGTCAGTGGCTCTTCATCCAATATAATGCTTCTATATTGGGTTATCACAGTCACTAATTAAGTTATTTAACCCTCTTATGCAGATGAATAGCACAGTCAATGAAGTTGTTGAGGTTGTACTCCCAAACATCACATTTTTACATTGTTTTCTTAACTCATACACTTATCACATTTTTTCTTCATACAGGGTGATAATCCTGGGAAGATTTCTTCCCCTCAAAACCATCTGGTACTGGGATTTGAAAATTTATTTCTCTATTGTTACCTACCATGGATCATTAATCCATAGATTTGTTGTCTTTTTCAGAATGAATCTCCATCAAAGTATTTATCTGCTGATAGCACAGAGGATCAACAGTCTGGTCAACCCATATATGACACTGAGTCAAAACTTAGAGACGAGGTATTTTTTACAAATTTCTGTCTCTATATCAAAATATTTAACTATTTTATACCTAACTACATTTTCCACATTTGGGTATCTTACACACAAGCCTCTGCCTTCTCCTCAACTTCCACCTGTATTCGATACTGCAAAGAAACCCTCTTCTATTGATGGATCTGAGGTTTATCTCAACTAAGTAGTTTATCTATTGTTTGAGATTCTCATAATTGATGTTACTCATCTGCTTAATGTTTTACCACTTTCAATCTTATCCAGGAGCTCAACATAGGAGACTTGTCCTTGGCCGATAATGTTGACACATTGGTTCAATCAGTTTGCAAGTCCATAAGTCCTACTATTGCTGCTGCAGGTGAGGATTCCTTACCATCAGAAGAAGAGCCTCTTGCTGTTGTTGATGCAAAGGTATCCTTTTACCATACTCCAACTTTAAAGATTGTTTCAAGCCTCATTCCATATATTCTAATAGTAAACCAATTTAATTGTCGATGCAGATAACCCCTCAAGATGATCTACCTGTTCCTAACCTTTCTGATGATATTATATCAAATTCTGCTAATCTTCAAAACACTGAGGTATTTTAACCCAGGCTGTCCACGTGGATAGCTGTATTTTTGATGGCTTCATTAATAAGTTAATACTTCAATATGTGGAACCTATGTATCTTCATTAACAAAAGTTACTATAATTTATTTCAAACCTAACAAAATAAATAACAACACTCCATAAAACCAAATGTTAACAAGATGATCTATTACGTTGCAGATAACACCACAAGAGGGTCAATCTGATGTCATTTTACCAAATTTTGTTTTGGTAAAACACTCCGAGGTAAGTTTTAAACTCCCTGTCCACGTGGATACGTTATTGTTAGACAATACTTTTTAATTTGCGAAGTATCCATGTGGATATGTGGTTTAAGTAATGTCCACTAACAACCTGTCACCAGATTGAAACCTCCTCTATTTATCCTCCAAAAATTGACCCTCCTCTTTTAAATCTATACTTTATGCCCAATTAGAAAATATCTTACCCCTTGTTTCTTTCTCACGTAGATTGCCGCAGCAACTGAACAAGAAAAAGATGATGATATTGAAAATGATGATGATGAGGTATAATCTCAATTTACCCTCCTCCAAAAAGATGCTCATATTGAAAATGATGATGGCTTTCTCATTATGTTATCCTTAATTTTCTTAAAACATCTCAGGATTCTGCTGTCGAAACTGGAGATGTTGTTGATGTGAGTGATTCATCTCCTGCGAGAGAACGAAAGCCAACTTCTTTGTCTGACAATGAGGCCAAACTTGTTGCGTTGGTGTCAAATATTCCCCAAAACTCACCTACAAAACAACATGACCTCTTACCTCGTTTGAACAAATCATTATTCAAAGTCTTCATGGACACACTTCGAAAGTCACCACATACGTAATGACATTCCTTTTCCTTTTACTTTAAATTTTTTTCCAACTGTCTAACATTATTTTCTAATTTCAGGGAACACATAACCCGCGGTGATACTGTGATAACCAACAAATTCCTAGTCCAGCTTGCCCAGCCAACCAATTGGGTTGATACCATGGTAAAACATTTCCCCATAATTAATCACATTTATTTCCCCCAATGTTCAATATGCTTATTCCACTTACTCTTTTCTATCATTTTGCAGCACATGGAGGTCCTAGGATCTTTCCTAAATGAAAGGCACAGATTGGCCCTCTCTCAAGAACGCGCTGTAATCATCAAACCATGGCTAGGCAACTACCTACAGGGAAAGTACTCTTCTTTCCTAGCTGCAAAACAAAAGTTGCGTGTTCAATGGAATCAACAGTTCAAGAGGGCTATTCCTGGATCTCCATCAGAATGGTTTGAAGAAATAGATCTTATCTTCATGCCAATGATATGGAAAAACCAGCATTGGGTAGGTCTGGCTATCAACTTAGGCACATGGTGTGTCGACATACTTGATCCAAATTACCCTCTAAACGATGATGCCAAAGTTGAAGAGTACATGGCACCTATTTTGGTCCAAATCCCGTATATAATTAACAAATTTTGCAAGCCACGTCTGAGTCAGGAACATGGGTTGGCTCCTTTCCGATGGACAAGAATGAAAGAGATCTATGTCAACGAGAGATGTGGGGACTGTGGACCTGTGGCCATGAAGCTCATCGAAATATACGCCAATGGTGGAGGTCCAGAGAAAATGTCTCTTATAACTGATGAAATTGTTGATGATTTCAGGGGTCAATACGCTATAGATCTGTTTCAAGAACTTGTGGCTCCTCTTTACAAATAGGTAGCTCAACTACTAATCTATGTAATTTGTTGTATAAATTGTTTGTTTTAATCTCCTTAACTATTTTCTAAAAACATACTTCTCGGCTACCACTTCTATTATTCTAAAAACAACATTATCATCTAGTATTATTCTAGCATAAACTATGTGATGTGGATTTCTTTACATGGACACATTCCATTCAAGTTATTTGTCTCTGTTTGTTTTACTCGTAGGCCTGTTATTGACTTCTGTGGATTGAGTATAATGGATTCATCAGTACAGTCCACAATGAACAACTTATTAAAACGCTGCGTTTAAATTTGGGTTTTAACCTTATAAAACTAGGGTCTCCGACTTCATCTCCTTCATCGCTTTCTGTGGGCAAATATCAGTTCTCCAAAAATCTTTCTTTATTCCGATCGTTCTAACTCTGTTCTTTTTTCTATATGTCCTCTTACATTCCTTTTCCTTTGGTTACAGACATAGTTCGTCGGATTGGTATATCTGGTTTTCGTCATCTCGGTCCATTCATCGCTGCTGGCCCTGAATTGTCAGCCATTGTTTTTTCTGATGAAGTATTACAGGAGGTTGGTCTTGAGGAGTTTGTATCTGTCCCATCTTTGTGCCTTGAAGGGTCACCGTACCGCCCATTTCTGCTTAGATGTCTACATTCTAACAACAACACTGCCAAATACATTGAAGGATTAAGACTAGCTGCCCTTGTTGGCCCTTCTGTTCAATCTCTTGATATGCTTGGTGAAGCTGCAATTCATAACATTCATTCCTATTTTGCTTTTGGCATTTTCTATGTTTTATGCGGAAATCCATCTGAAGGAAGTTTGATTCTCCAAAAGTATTTGGAGAAGTTTCAAACTTTCGAAGAAGCTATTAATTGCGCTGACCAGGTGATGACTCAGATATCAGACATGGGTCCAACAGGAAAGCATCTTTACCGAGGGTACAGGGGCTTACACGTTATACCACCTTGTGGTTTAGTCCATTACGGGGGTTTAGATGTTTGCCCATCTTGCTTTGTGCTATTTTATGTCTTTCAAATCCATGACTTGTGTTAGATTTTAGATTTTTAATATAAATCTCCCTTTCCAAATGAATCTTTATACTCATACATTGTCTTGCAATTCATTGAGTACTGACCACACGGCTTAGGTATTTCCATTCCCCAGTGAGCAAAGCATTAAAAATTGTTTGACTGCAAATTAATAAGAATATTATTTGATTTTGTCGATTGTGGCTATGTATTAATGGACTATTACAATGATATTCGATAAATACATTCGATTATCAATCGTGTATTTTATCTGTAGTTGCGTTTCAATAAATGATAATCGAAATGTGACCGTTTTTTTTTTTGGCTAGTACTGCAATCCATTGAGTACAGACCACACGGATAACATATTCCGATTTATCAGCTTTGGGTTTTCTGTTAAAATAATGTATGAAAACAAATTAATACGAATCACAAACAAATTAATACGAATTATATTATGTCAGTTATTGGAATTACTCCTTTTCAACTTTTACCAAAAACGACGTCGTCCATAATTGGGAATATATTCTAAACATCTAGGGATTTCACCATAACAAGCTTTTTCAGGTTCGCCACCGTAAAGGTCCAAACAAGAAAATGGTAGATCAATTTGGAGGTATCCCGAAACTCTGCCGTTGTGGCGAGGAAGTTGTGATGAAAACCTCAGCAACTCCAAGAAACCCTGGTCGCTTGTTTTATGCATGTCCTTTGGGATCCTCTGTAAGTATATGAACTAACTAAAATCATTTTTGCTAAATTCATATCAGAACTAATACCGGATACACAGGATAATAGGTACCATTTGTTCAAATGGACGGATACATGTTTGGTAGAAGAGATTGAGGTGTTGATTGAAAAAGTCGATGACATTGAGAGAGCTACACAAACATTGCAAAAAGGGTTAAATATTTGTGATTCCGACATTAGCACTTTGAAGAAGGAGACGCGGTTGGATGATTCTGTTCTTCAGAAAGATATTGAAGACTTGAAAACCCAGATCAGATGTCTGAAAAACATTGTTGTTTTCGCTATCTTATTTGTTTTATTTTTTTTCTTTTTTTAATTATTTTCTAATTGGAAAAAAATTCGATTAGAACTTGTTGTCTGATTTTAACTGTACTTATTGATATTCAAGCAACCTTCAATTTTTCAGTCCAAATAAAAAATAAAAAAACAAAATCTATATAGCTTCAGTTTAGGCCATCATTTCACGTACACTATAAATTTAAACTTTCTTATTGTCAACTAAGTCATAATTATAAAAATCTTTCATTTATGTTGCTGTATAACCTATTCGTACGTCATAGGCCAGATACATCACGTTAGCCAATACTGACACCCTTTACATTGTATTATCTATTGGGTAATGCTTGAAGAGTGACACAACACATCAATAGCTTTTGCTACGTCCGATGCTCGTTTATGGACACGTTACTTTTAAGCTACTTTTCCTGTCAGCAGACTATAATTTCTTCGACCATGCTTTCCAACCAAAAAAAAGGGCAACTTTTCTTTGATTCGACATATTTTATTACTATTATATGGATAACAACCCATGGCCCGAGACTCTAATTCTTTAACCTAAATTTGACCAGAATATTGACAAAGTTTATAAAGGTTAGTACCCCAACAATAACGATTTTATGGATTACAATTTTTGGACATAAGGATATACTCATTGCTGGCAAGTTGAACATTAAGAAACAATATGGATAACATTCAGTGGACGCAAACAAAGTTCTTAAGTGTTTTACATTCCCCAACAAACTAAAACGTAATTTGTAACCAAAATCAACATCCCGCTTACATATTGGATTATAACCAAATAACTTACCACAAAAAATTGTTAATACTTTCATTAACTCTACCCCAACATCCCGGTTACATCCTCCATAACTTAATCGACACACCTATTGAATCTGTGCCCAACTCTCTTGCACCTAGGGCACCTTGGCCTCCCGACTCTTCCCGGCTGAAAAGGTGGCTGAACGACGCACACATTCATGTCATCCACCATGCGCTTATCATGTGAGACATTCCAACGGCATCTCATCTGAAAGTACCCTATCGTCGACTCATAACACAGTGCCTTGTGCTTCTCAACAAACTTAGCATACGGATTATCAGCGGCAAGACACTTTTGGTAGAAAGTATAGTACTTTGAATGTGGCATTGACCACCACATGAAATGAGGGTCCATGTCAATTCTAACGGATGATAAGGTTTTCTTCGACAGAACAGCATCCTTACCCTCTCTCCCAGCGAGAAACAAATTCTTCAACGCATCAACACCATCTTCACCTACCTTACTCACGATGATCTCCATCAACGGCTGAGGAATGTGAAATTCCCTCATAGGAACCTCCTAACAAACAAAAACAGATTTTTGTAAACAATCATTCTGATATTAGCATTATTTAAAAAATAAATTACAACAACCTCAATGACATTTGAACCCTCGCTCTCTTCATAGCTTTTGAGTACACCTCCCATAGATAAGCTTTCTTGTAATTCGCCCATTTTAACAAGAAATACATATATCTGATCTTTGGATTAGGTTGTGTTACAGTTTATATCCTATTTATAGACTTTATTAAACCTATTTGTTGAACCCTAACCTCATAATTTTATAATTGATTTGGATTAAAATATAAATATCTTTTACACATGGATATCATTTTCTGGTTAATTATTCAATGGATTATAGTGCGTGGATACACTTCATGAAATAGTTTTCTTTATATATTTTAAATTCAACAATTTAAATATTTTTCTTTGTTTTGGCGGGAGTTTTCCCCCTCTTTCCTATTATCTGAGTATTAGAGGATTACATACACCAAATATAACATAAATACTAAAGTAAAACATTTGTGAAAAAGATTAGAGGATTAAAATATAAAATTAATGATTACATGGATACCATTACACGGACTTAGACAATGTGCTTACAGCAACTTTAGCTAAAACATCCCAACAATCTTAAATGTTTTACATTCCCGTTCTACAAAAAGCAAAATACAACATCCCGATTATATGTTGGATTATAGCCAAATATCATTCCAATAAACGTTGATAATTAATTTCATGAACTCTACCCCATCATCCCGCCACCATCCTACAATCCTTAATCCATACACCTGTGCCCAGCTTTATTGCACATTCGGCACCTTGGCCTCCCAACTCTTTCCCGCTTCATAGGTGGCTTCACCACGCACCTTTTCATGTCATCCAGGTCCATCAAACCCCCTAAGCGTTTTTGGTGGCAGACCTTCCAACGGCATCTCATTTGAAAGTAACCTATCGTCGACTCATAAGCCAGTCCTTTGTTCTTCTCTACAAACTTCGCATACGGATTATTCGCAGCAAGACACTTTTGGAAGAAAGTGTAGTACTTTGAATGTGGCATTGACCACCACATGAAATGATTATCCATGTCAATCCGAACAGATGCCAAGGTTTTCTTCGACAGAACAGCATCCTTCCCCTCTCTCCCAGCGAGCAACAAGTTCTTCAACGCGTCAACACCATCTTCTCCAACCTTACTCACGATGATCTCCATCAACGGCTGAGGAATGTGAAATTCTCTCATTGGGATTTCCTACCAAACAAAAACAAATTTTTTCAGAAATCATTCTTAGATTAGCATTATTATAAAAACACATAACAACTACCTCAACGACATTTGAACCCTGGCTCTCTTCATCGCTTTCGAGTACTCCACACATAGTTAAGCTTTCTTGTGAATCGCCAATCATAATCAGAATGACAATAAAAATGTTCTATTTGGATAGGTTGTGCATTGGTTTAGGAACTATTTATAGAGTCCATTAAACATCTACGTTTAACCTAAACTCGTGTTTTTAGCTAATTCCCCACTTTTTTTTTTATTAATTTGTTTAAAATATATATATCTATACACATGGATATAATGTAGTGGATATAATGTACTGGATATAAGAATATGGATTATATGCTGAGTATACAAGGGTTGATGACTTGTTAATGATAATAGCTCGAAACTA